AATCAAAGATCAATTAATTGCCATAATTAGGCTATCCCATCATACCATCCCCTCCATAAACTTATCAAGCTTAGTCTTGAAGCCAGATATGTCTTTTGACCCCACTACTCCCCTTGGAAGGTTGTTCCAGAACTTCACTCCTCTGATGGTTAGAAACCTTAGTCTAATTTCAAGTCTAAACTTCCTAATGTCCAGTTTATATCCATTTGTTCTTGTGTCCACATTGGTACTGAGCTTAAATAATTCCTCTCTCTCCCTGATATTTATCTCTCTGATATATTTATAAAGAACAATCATATCTCCCCTCAGCCTTCTTTTGGTTAGGCTAAACAAGCCAAGCTCTTTGAGTTCATAAGACAGGTTTTCCATTCCTCAGATCATCCTAGTAGCCCTTCTCTGTTCCTGTTCCAGTTTGAATTCATCCTTCTTAAACATGGGAGACCAGAACTGTACACAATATTCCAGATGAGGTCTCACCAGTGCTTTGTATAACAGTACTAACACCGCCTTATCTTTACTGGAAATACCTCGCCTGATGCATCCCAAGACTGCATAGCTTTTTTAACGGCCATATCACATGGATGAGAGTGGCACAGGCACTAGGGGAGAATAGGAGCAGAGGTGTCTGTCAGCCCCACATTCTCCCCTCCTATGTGTGCCAGGATCTGGAGGGGGCCTTCCTCTCTTGTGGAGTCCGAGTGCCTCTCTCCACTTTCGGGTGTGTGGTGGGATTTGGTGGGGGTCACCTGTCCCTCTAGGAGGGTCTGATCCTCTCTCCTTGCCTCTGCATATGAGCTAGAATACAGACGCATTGCCTCTCTCCCTGCTTTCCCATGTGTGTGCGCTGGGATCTGGGAGTAAGCCCTGCCCCTATATGGTAGTATGCCCCTCCATACCCTTCTTCATATGAGCTGGGATCTATAGGGCCCTGTCCCTATGGGGGGTATCTGAGCCCCCTGCCTGCCCCACATCATGGGATTTGGGGAGCTTTGTCGTGCTAAAGGGGGTCAGAGCCCTTCTCCATGTGAGTCAGCATTTGGGGAAGGCAAGAACAGGCAAGCTCAAAGCATGCACCAGAACACACACTGCTGAGACTGCAGTGAGGAGCTAAGAACGGGCATGCTTGATGCACATCACAGATCTCTCAAGCACTGGGGAGGGAGGATCACAGAATATCAGGGTGGGAAGGGACCTCAGGAGGTCATCTAGTCCAACCCCCTGCTCAAAGCAGGATCAGTCCCCAGGCAGATTTTTGCTCCAGATGCCTAAATGGCTGCCTCAAGGATTGAGCTCACAACCCACTGACATGAACAGAGCAGTGCACACCTCAGAGTGATTTGTTTCAGGCTTTATTTGTCTCCATGGGGTTGATACTATCACACCTCCCAGAGCCTCCTATCCTTTCAGTATTATCCTGTGGGGGTGATCTGGATATAGCAGATGACTAATTTCATACGATATAGCAGAGTGCCAGCTCTGCTACAGTTAAGTTTGAGAAGACCTTTCTGTTTAAAGGGTGACTCTTCCAAGTGCTCTAAAATCCACATGCCTGGCTTGTCTTGAAATTGTGTGTGTCTCGTGGGAATGTGGGGTAGGGTTAGTGACCCAAATTTGGCCCAGTTGACCTCTCGAAAAACCCCCCAGCATTTCATAATGTTTGCAGATTCTAGCAACTTTGACCTCTGAAACCCACCCTGAGCAGGAAGAGAATGAACTGTTAATGTTTGGGAAAAACAAGCCTCTGTCAAGGTTTTTTTGGTAAGAAAATATGTTCTACATGTGAATGCTCACTGGGTGGGGCAGGGGTGGGAGAGTAGGTGAGAATAGGGGTAGGGTCTGCAGTGAGGGATGGGGGTATTCTGGGGAGGGAGGTAAATGCAATAGAGTGGTAGGGGAAGGAAAAGTGGCTGGGAACTCAAGAAAGGGGTGGGATTGGGGGAGCAGGAGGGGAGAAAACAGGAGGGACTGGACAATGGGAGGGGTGGCAAGGGAAGTTGGGGGTTTAGAGGTGGGAGCCTGCCAATCCTGAATCTCCCCTACCGTGTGTGCTGGGATTTGGGGGAACCTGCCCCTCTTGAAGTGTCTGAGCCCCTCTCCATGTGAGCTGGGGGGGGAGGGGTGGTAATAGAAATGTAAACATCTGAAACCCAGGAAATGAATCATTAAGATACATGTCAGCTCTGTGTGGAGTGTGTCAGTGAGGGTGGCTGGCCAGAGTGTGAGCGGACCACTTTGGAAGTGGGTGAACTGGGTGGCGCTAGGGTGTGGCCCATGAAACCTGGCTGAAGCATGGGCAGGAAGCCCAGCTGGGGTTGCGTAGTGTGGGTGAGGGGCCTGGCTTGATGTGCAACACGGGCTCGGCGACATAACCAAGGAAATGCACAGCCCTCAAGTAAGCTGCTGCCTGTGATGTGTGTACACAGCAGCACCAGGCAGGAGACAGTAAGGACCAACTGCTCAGGTTGTAATGGCTTCTACAGTGCTAACTAATGGCTTAATGGGACGGGAAAGCGAGCAGGAGCTGGAAATGTTGGTGGGGTCGCTACATGTTGCAGGAGATGGTGGGGCAGGGGGCGGACAAGGAGAGAGAGACACTCATCTTCTCTCTCCTGCTTAAAGTTACTGTAGCAACCCTGTAATAAAACGGACAAGATTCCGTGACACAGACCATGAGGGAGATTTCTCTCCCTGGCCCTGTTAGTCGCCACACAGCGCAAGTATTTCAAAGCACGACCATTATTTCCATTCCACTCGAACAAAATGTACAGGAGGGTGGAAGAGCACTCAGGAATCCCATAGCAACTATATGGCCTAACAGAGAAACCATCAGGAGTATTATTGGCTCTGCCACTGGCCTCCTGAGTGGTCTTGGGCAAGTCACTTCACCTTTCTGTGCCTCAGTTTCTCACCTCTAAAATGGGGATCTACTGATGAAAAGTGCTATATAAATGCTAGCTTTTTCTTTGTTATTACCTAGCTACAGTATGTGTCAAATGAAACCCTAAATGAGAACTATAACCGCCTTATCTCTGTATTACCACCCAATTTTCACAGTTTTGAGTTTAACTGAACTTAACATTCTGGAAAGCTGCAAGATACCACCAGACAACCTTAACTCTGCATGAATGAAGTTTTTTTGGGTTCTTTGGTCAGGGAATTTATAAAGTGCTTTGCTACACCTGGAGCGTAAGCGGTTCTGAGAAAGCCAACTTCTATTTCACTTTGTATTGTAACCACAAAACAACAGCATCAGTAACCTGTTAGTAACAGAAACTACTACTAAGGGAAAGCAATTACCCCTATGTAGTAGGGAAACGTGCTCAAAGAAGCCCCTGTTAAGCTAATGCAAAACCAATGCAAAATATGTATAAATACTTCATCTCTAGGGTACATATATCCTGGATATGCAGTATTAAGAACACGTGCTTTTCCATGTCTGGGGCCAGAATTCAGCTCCACCTCTACAACATAAAATGAGTCTTGCAGCCTCTGGCACTCTCTCTTTGTTGCTTGTCAGTAGCCCACTAAAAATATTTTTGTAAGGAGTGATTTCATTTTTGTCCCTATCATTTTGAAGGGGCAATTTCAATTCAGAGGGGCACAAATGAAGTTAATAGTTATAATTCTACCACACACCCTCCTCAAAACCAAGATGCTCAGGTCAAAAGGAGCTGTTGCATGGTAGGTGGGCCCCGAATGGAAGCCTTAGACTATCTTGGTAGTAGCTGTACACTGGCTCATTTGTATGATGCTTGTGACCAGCATCATGACCCCAGGATGAAATATGCTAAATACCAAGGGCATTTTGCTGAGGGCTGCAAATCGTGTACCTTGGTATCCTGCCAGGAGTGTTTCACCCATTTTGTATGACAACGGGCATGACTGCAGGTGGCAGCATGCAATACTGTACGTCTTGATCAAAGAGGGTCATTGGGCAGCAAGGGCCAAGCAGCTGTACTTCATGCTGGGATCTGTAGCTTGCACAAGGCTGCACCTCTCTAACAGACGGTGACTGCAAGCTGCTCTTTGGGTCACTCGTGTGCAACATGAAGCTGACATTTGTGCAATGGAACAGCCATCTTCCCACAGCGACAGAAGCACCTTCAAAGGCCAGCAGAAATGTGGGTTCTGAATAGACAGGGCAGATTTAACAGCCATTCAAAATTAACTCCAAGAAAAGGGAATCTCAAGAAGATTCAAGGAATAAGTCAGAAAAGGGAGCAAGCTTTCTACTGGTCACTTTATAGTGACAGAACAACAACAAAATGCCAGCTGGTTTCAGTAACAGATGCTCTGATCTGTCTTGCATGCCCACCGAACTTCTTTCCAGTGGAAACATGGAGCTTATGCGACGCTGAGCAGATCCTTTACGCAGCCCTTTTTATGCATACAGTGTCATGGCTGGGATGTTTTCTGCTCATTGACAATCCCGCATGTATATATCTTATTTTATACTAGTTACACTTAGTTTTAGGAAAGGCAAAACGAGAGGCGGGTGGTTACTGACATTTCACCTCTCCCGTTATTATATTGCCCTACAAATGTATCTTATCTGACGTAGTGATATGAAAATGAACATAGTCACTTTTTCTTCCGATTTTCTCTTTTCCCCTTCCCTCCAAATATTGTGTTAGGTTTGTTCTTTTAATT